GGAACGCGTTGGAAGTCTCGTTTTCCACACTTCTGTCTCTGAGTCCGTTATTTGAATTCGGACAGGTGAGCATTTCTCTCAAGCGCCGGTAAATGGTACTGAACTCCAGGCTGGGCTGGTGCCCCTCTCCTATATGCTTACGATGGTCACTGCACCCTTCAGTCCTAGCTCCCTGCTTCCACACCTGACTGTCCGTTTCCGGGGGCCAGGGACTGTGCATTGGAGATCTGACACCGGATGGAGACTGAGGGTGGGTATCAGAAGGCGATGGCAGAGGGAGGGAAGGAAGCGAAGGAGGAGGGCAGAGTCCCGTGTCAGTCATGTGTTGCTGCAGTGCGGCTATTCAGAAACAGCCACAAAGCCCAGTGGCTTAAACAACAGTGTTTATAAGTCATGAGTGTCTGGGTCAGCTGCCGGCTCCGGCCCTGGGACGCTCCTCTGTCTGCACTCAGTGGGCTGGTAGACTGCTGATCTCAGTGGCTGTCTCATACCTGAAACCCTCGCGAGGGTCCATGTGGTCTCCCCTCCTGAGAGCCCAGGTCTGGGCTCTGCCCAAGGCAGGACTCTAAGAGGGAGTGCAAGGCCTCTCGTGCAGGGCGCGGGGAGCACAGCGCTGCTTCTGCTTCAGTTTATTAGCCAGAGAAGGTCAGGAGGCAGGCCAGGGACAAGAAATAGGGAACTAGGGTCTATTGCTTGATAGGAAGAGCTACCAGTCAAGGGTCCGGGTGTGGCCACACAAAGGGGAAGGCACGGGCTATTTTCTGCCATCCACTGCCATAATTTTAGGTTAACCTTTGACGGTTAGTGAGAGCATGCAAATTCCAGTAACGCTGTCCCCTTCAAGTCCTAAACGTGCTTCATTATGCAAATGTTCCTCCGTGACTCTCTTCTTAGCTGCTTCCTTCTACTGTCTAGCTGTGTGTGTTCATGTAACTCAGGTTTGGTCTATATTTATGGTGAGCAAAATGTAATTAGAGAGGCGGAACTGTTGCAAAAAAAAAAAAAACAGATTAAAGCTAAAATAAATACTTGTACATTTAGCTCCATGCAGATTCCTGCATTCCCACAATGGTACTTAAGAGTTGTTAATGTACATATGTTCTTTTTCTTTGTGTACACATTTAGTTTTATTGTAACAAAGCAACTTGTACACTTTTAACGTTTAAAACTCAGCATCATCTTTTCTTTCCAGTGAAACAAAAATAAAATTTAAAAATAAACTGGAACAAAATTACAATAGAGAAATGTCAATTCTGAATAAGATCCTACAGGGTCTGCTGATTCTCCCATCGAGTGGCAGGACTCACATCATCATTAGGAGAGACTTTTATTTTAAAAATGTCATCTTAGACTGCAAGGATGTCCATTAAACAACAATTAAACATGCCAAAGAAGGGGACATGTCAAAATGCCCACTTAACTCACCAAACGTCTCAGACCCACCCTTTGCTGACATTCTATAACCTCCCTCCCCCTTTTAAATTTTTTTTTCTTTTTTTAAACAAGAGAAAGTAGACAGATACATGTTGGTAAATGCTAACTGGAGACCCAACTGCTCCTCTTAAAAGGCCAGCACAACAAACTGAACTTACAAGCTCCTGCTTCCTCTCAGCTCCAGTGCCAGGTGAGGTTTGGGGGACCCAGACACATAAGACAAGAAACTGGACTGTCTGGCATCGGGACAGGAATTTGGGGGTGGCTTTCTCCCAGACGGGAGGTGCTCACAGCGGTCATTGTTCCGAGCTAGGACCACCCCAGTGCAGGGCTGACTGGCAGCCATTTCTGTGTTTTCCACCTTGGTGATTCCCTGGGACCTGACCCACCCAATATACAACCCCACCCAAGCTGTGCACAGCGGCTTTTGCATATGAATGCCCTGTCCTTTCTCAGGCTTAAAACTCTGTCAAACCAGCTGCAGCTGAGTCAGGGAGCCCCAAACCTTTCAATAAAAAGCCCAAGGCCTGCCCCACCACCAGCCAGCCTTGCTTCACAGCTGGGCCTCATCTGGGCTTTAAAATTTTGTTTTTTACATTGGGAAAAGCTTTTCAGTATTCTCATGAACTGTTTTCTCCCTAAACCAGCAGTTTCATAATTAGACTAACTACTATTAAAAGTCTGGAAGATGGAAATATACCCCTGAACTATCTGAATATGTTATCTACACTAATAAAAGAGAAACATGGTAATTGGCATACGACCACTACCCTTTTCATTGGCTAATCACGGCGATATGCAAATTCACTGCCAGCCAAGATGTCGGCCGGCAGCCAGGCAGCTTGAAGCGAACATGAGGCTTGCTTGCTTCAGTGACGGAGGATTCCAACATTCCCTGCCTGCCGCTGCCGGCCTCTGAGCTTGCAGTTTGAAACATTGTTACAAATATAGAAGCTAAACAAAACCCCAGAAACCTGCTTTCAGCCAGCTGGGATCTCAGAACTGGAGTTGAAACAGTGTTTGGATTATAGAACCCAAACAAACCAGACACCTGCTTTCAGCAGCAGAGGCCTCAGAGTTGGAGCCAAGCCTCAGAGCTAAAGCTGGCCCAGAATAAAAAAAAATAAAAAAGAAAAAAAGGAGCGGTTGGGAGCTTCAGTCACCCGCCAGCCTGAAAACAGCCCTCAGCCCCTCACCCAGACTGGCCAGGCACCCCAGCCTGTGTGTCACTCAGCCCCAATATGCCCTGGTTTTGACAGTCCAGAGTTCTTACTGCCCATAGGGATTTCTTTTCCAGCTCTGGGAGCCTGGGCAGGGGGTCTGGTGTGGGGCTGGGACCCCTTTCTCCACTGGGCAGCCTCCACAAAGGCAATCTCCTCTGATTTGAAAAGCGGCACATGTGGGCACTGGACCAGCCTGCTCTGTCGCATCTGCAACTCCCACCAGTCTCAGTGCGCTTACTTCTTTACCTCTCTAGTTGTAGGACTTCCATTCAGCCAGCTTCCCAGCGGTTCTGATGGTTGTTCTGTATTTTAGCTATAATTTTGATGTGGTTGTGGGAGGCAGCAAGTACAGGCGTTTCCTACCCCGCCATCTTGGTTCTCCCAACTCTGTTGCATTTTTAAAGGGCTGTTGAGACCTGGTTAGGGGAAGTCTCTCCATATTTCACACTTGCTGGCTGTGTGCTGCTGGGAGGAAGCAGAGTTGGTGATCCTGTGATGTGGGCGTTATTACAGGACAACTCAGAGTAGTCTAAATGCCAAAATCGCCATCCAAGGTTCAGGGAGGCCACCCAGCTGTCTCTTCATTAATTCGGAGCTCTGAGGTGCACCAATTGTTCCCAATGCTGGCTGCTGCACTTGTTGCCTCAGAGTGCCCCTAGGCGTGTTGTTAAAAATTCGTTCAGCCCTGGTGGCTTTGGCTCAGTGGATAGAGCCTCAGGCTGTGGACTGAAGGGTCCTGGGTTAGATTCTGGTCAAGGGCACATGCTGGGGTTGCGGGCTCAGGTTGTGGGCTCGATCCCCAGCAGAGCCCATGCAGGAGGCATCCAACCAATGATTCTCTCTCATCATTGATGCTTCCAATTCTTGTTCCTCTCCCTTCCTCCTGAAATCAATTTAAAAAAATTGCTGCCCTAACTGGTTCGGCTCAGTGGATAGAACATCAGCCTGCGGGCTGAGGGGTCCCAGTTTCAATTCCAGTCAAGGGCACATGCCCGGGTTGTGGGCTCAATCCTCAGTAGGGGGCGTGCAAGAGGCAGCTGATCCATGATTCTCTTCATTGATGTTTCTATCTTTTTCTCCCTCTCCCTTCCTCTCTGATCAATAAAAATATATTTTTAAAATTGCCTCCAGGCCACACCTCGATAGCCCCAGGAAGCAGCCTGGGAATCTGTAAGGAGCCTGCTGGGCAGCAGGGCACAGTCAGCCGGGCGCCCACCTGCCCAGGCGGGGCCAGGAGCAGAGCTGCTGAGCAATCAGGGAGCTGGGGCTGTGGCTCAGCAGGTGGGCACATGGTGTTCCCACGCAGCCTGGTGCTCGGCCTGGAAAAGGCTTAGCATTCTCTCCGCTGTCCGCAGGGCCCCAAATGAGCGCTGATTTACAGAGAAGCAGTGGTGGGTAATGTTGGCCAGAGCACCAGCCAATTCCCCTCTTCTGCCTGGTACCCGCAGTCACAAGCCTTTCTGAGTGAGCAGTGGTCCCTGGTGGGAGGTGGCACGTTAGCTGAGGCTCTGGCATTGCTCGAGTGGCAAGGAGTGAGTCTGAAGAGGGTGCTAGATGCAAGGCTGGACCATCCCGCAGGAGGACGCTGCATGAGGTGGCCCTGCCCACGAAGGTGTACAGACTCAGGCCAGGGAGTCAGGTGGGGGTCGGGACTCGGGCGCCTCCTACTCCAGGGAGAGCTGGTGGTCTCACAGCCCCGTTTGCTTTAGGGGCTCTGCTTTTCCTGGGAAACCAGGCCTCCTCACCCACAGATGGGGCCGTGTCCTGACTAGACAGGAGCTCTGACTCTCTGGGCACATCGTTAGGCGTGGCCCCTCTCTCCTGGACCTAACTTGTCCCTTTACGTAAGGGAGACGCATTTTCCTACTTTAGTGTAAATGCATAACATAATGCAACAGCAAACCGATGTTTCTCTCTGCCTCTCTCTCTCTCTCAAAAATGAAAAAATTAAAAATATTAAAAAATGTTTAAGAAAATATATTGAGGAGGAAGGAGACGCCATTAGAGGGAGGCGGAGAGGGAGCGCTCTTCTCCTTTCGTCGGGTGCCTGACTTGGTGGCGGGGCCCTTCATTCTCGGACTTTCTCTCTGCCCCTCCAGGCCTCGCCCCAGGAGACGAGCTAGCAGACGGCGCCCGGGGTCGGCGGGCCGGGGCGGAGGGGCCTGCGCCCGTGGCTGTGAGGGCGCCGCGGCGGCCGTGCGGAGCTCGG